GTGGCGCTCAAAGCGATTGCGTCTAAAATGAAAGGACTTAGACACCATCAACAGCTTTTGTTTAAGGCATGGTGTCTGTACTGTAAGTGGAGGCCGCCTTCTTGCGCACCGCCGTTGAAAGCCTTCGAATCCGCAACTCCCAGGTCGAGAACCAGCTTTCTGCTGCTCAAGAAGCTTTTGGCCATAGGGGCTGAGGTCGACGCAAGTCACAGACTTCCGAGAGGTGGACGCCCAGTCCAGGAAATCGTAGCGGCCCAGGAAGAAGTCATAGTCCACGACCACGAGGTAGCACTTCTCGAAGCTGTCGGTCAGGTAGTCGGTCAGCTGGAGCTTCCAGTGGAGCCACTTAGGCGCTCCACGTGGTCCTTGGGAAGCTCACCGTCCGCGGGCAGGGGCTTCGCCATGATGCTGGGATACTGCGACCGAACGTCGAAGAGGTGCAGCCAGGAGGTCGGCTTCAGCCCGGGAGCATCGGTGTTCGCTCTGGTAGAGAGCTGGAAGGCGTTGCTGACGCCTCCCCTGATGTTGGCGCGGATCAAGTCGTAGATCTTGTGGACAGTGATCCTGTAGAGAGGCGTCTGAGGCGTCGTGCACACGCGGAGCATGGCGTCCCAGGAAGCGCTTGGAAGGGTCACGTAGCCGACGGGGTCGAGCCGGAAGTGCTGCCAGAAATTCTTGCGGTACTCCTGAATGACGTCCGCGAGGGCCAGGACGTCGGTGGCCAGGTAGCAGTCGTGGAGCTCCCGGAAGCTCTTGAAGCCCAGGCTCTGGATCAGACGCGCGGTCTTCCGGTACCGCCGCTCGCTCATTTTGCCTTTGAGCCTGCTGTCGTCGGCTTCGCGGGGCAGCAGCGCCGGCAAGCTCCAGGCCTCGGGTCCGTTCATAAGGGCATGTCCAACTTGCGCAGAAGCTGCTCCCCCTGGGACTGCCGGAACCACGGATGCCTCTCAGCGAGGAGCGGAAAGTTCGTGTGGAGGCCGCCCGGCTTCGACTTGTGATCGGTGATGAGCTTGTCCAGCGAGGTGGGGAAGGTGTTCAAGGAGTCTCTGAACACCAGGCTGCCGAACCTGATCTCCAGGCAGGAGGCCAACTTCGGCAAGGGGCGCTTCGCTAAGGTCAGGCACCACCGCCACGGCACCGGCGAGTACCTCGC